AAAAAATAAAAAATTATGTACTTGCTTCCATCATGTCTTTATGGGATCATAAATAATTTAAAATACTTGAATCAGGAGCTGCATTTTTTTTTTTTTTTTTTTAGAATATAAGCAAGCTATTCCAAGCTCAGGCCCAATTTTGAGACACTTGGAAATATCACCCGTGGCATTAAATATTTGTATTTCCTTTCCCCACCTCCACCACCACCAAGCCAAAGCACGTTCTGAAAGCTTTTACTAATCTTTGTCTGATGCTCATGGAAGAATTTTTTTTTTTTCCTTGTTATAGTAATGCAATTGGTCAAATGGGACTTTTAAAGTTAGGTGATACACTAAAAGACACTTTTGCTTTATGTACCTCTAATTTTGAGAACTGCAGCAAACTGGTATCTATCCAAACGAACAACTGCTTTCATCTCTGTTTTCTTAAAAAATTATTCTGCACACATTTGTTTAAATTACAAAAAGTTTTAAGAAATTATTATATTCCTGTTTTAGCTACCAGTGTCTACTTTCAGCAGAAGTCATCATGCAACAAGCCATGAATTTAATGGCATAAATTGTGCAGTACCAAGAAATACTAGGAAATAGGAACTATATACTTACTCCACAGTATTCAAGCATTTGAATGATTTCTTCTTCATAAACAGTTTGAGTATAATACTGTTTGTCTAGCTCTCTCCAGTTCACTGCCTTACTCAACACACCCTAAAATTAAAACAAACAAAACTGTTAGCAAAAAAAATGCTGACAAACACTTCGGAGGAATTACAAGAATCCATATCCACAGAAGAAAGAACAGATCCTTAAAATAATAACTATCTTTTGAAGTTGCAGTTTCCAACTTATTCTGGTCAGTGTCCACTTGAGAGCTCTAATAAAAAGTTTCCTAATTCACACCAGACAGGAGTAGTCATAAATCATATTTATTTCACTTTACATTAAAATAAAAAATAAAACATTTCCCCATTATAACTACGCTACTGCACACTGAAAAGTGCATCTTAAAAATTAAAAGCCTTACCATATAATCCAATCTTTTTGAATTGTAACAGAGAACCTGGAGCACCATATGATTACTGTATCAAAAGGAAGTTTGTCTACCTACAGTAGCTGCAGTCCTTTGAAAAGTACTGTTCATATATATTCTACTTTTGGTTTGCATATGCCTTATGCCCCTACTCAGAGTCATCCCTAGGGATGTGCGGGGCCTGGGGCATATCAGCCCATGTGGGGCGGGGGGGCACCACTCAAATTTAAGCGCTGAAGCATCTCATGTACTAGCATCCCCATGCTTCAAAATGGCAGCAGGGGCACTTGAACTAAGGCTACTCAAACGAGCTTTAGTTCAAGCCCCCCCCAATACCATTTTGAAGCACAGGGATGCTGATACTGGAGGCTGGGTGGAGCACATTCATTACCATGCAGAGGCAGGCTGGATTAATCAAGTCTGCTTCAACATGCTGCAATTACAGCGCATCAGAGCAGCCTCCACATTTGTGTACAGGCACCCCAGGAGTTTATCTGCACTAATGATTTCAAGACTGCTTTGCCCAAGATAAACATCAGATTTTCAAGTTTCTTCTAGGGAGCAAAGTTGGGTAAACGTATGCAGTAAACCCTAGTAAGTTATCCTATGTGCCTCTTTTTTTCAACACTTCTCAATGAGGCAGTAGAAGCTGCTTGCACCCTGGTGGCATGGACTAAAACTTTCAAAGGGTGTTTTTTAAGTGGGGAGAAAAGTGGCAGATATGCTTCTTGGGTGAGACAGAACACAAAACTATTTTTGGCAAGAGTTCTGGGTGAAGACTCAAAGTCCCCCTGTGCTTATGACTTAGTGTGCTGAGATCCAGCACAAAGTATCCTAAATCATCTAGCAGATTTTACTGCTCCTAAGAAGGTTGCTTTGACAGCTAGACAGAAAAAAGAATATTGTTGGTGGTGGTTCAAAGAATAGAAACACGCATGCTATAAACACAAATCAGAGAAAAAGGGACTTGGAAAGTCATCTAAACCAGCCCCTTGCTTGAGGTAGGCCCATTTTTGTCCAAACCATTCTAAAACAAAAAAGTCTAACAAGACTGGGACTGGAACCTGGACAGCAGTGGTGAAAAAGTGCTAAATCCTGACCACTAGGCCATCATAAAGAGTAGATGGCTTCCTGACTGGGGAAAGATCCTCTAGCTACAACAGAAGGTGAGAATGTCAGTAATTTTGAACTAAGAGTGGAAAAAGTTGAGACTGTTGGTAGGTATCATCCTGAGGAGTTCAAAGGTAGTTAAGATGTCATAGTGTTAAAAACATTCTGACCTGTTGTGGACTTAAAACAATTCTTGATGTAAAGAATTCATTATCATTTTTGTAGGTAAAGTGAAAACAAAGAGATGACATTTTAAAAGGTGTGCCTTGAGTCCATCAAGAAGTGTCTTGAGACTAAGAAGACTGAAAACCACTGCCCTAGATCTTCTTTGGTTGGAGATGCAACATTCCTCTCACACTCAACCTTGAGGTTTTACTGGCAGGAGAGGATCCTTTATAAGGGGCAGTCTTACACCTATGGAAAAAATGGAACCAGAACCGTTTTTAGAAGGATTGCTCAAAATTTTTAGCCCTCACTACCCCAGCGTTTGAAGGGCCACAGTGACCACCCAGAAGAACCAGAATTACAAGCAAGCCTTCTGGCTAACATAATAGCACATTTGTCTAGTATATTCCACTCACTGAGATGCTTGGTGTATCTCATGCGTCCATCGTTAAGGGATATTAATACTCTGGAAGACGCACAATTACTAACAGTGGAGAAGAGATGAACAGAGTATTGAATGGGCTTTCAAGAGGGAAAAAAGATGCTTGGCAAAGGTTAATTAGACTATGATTTTACACATAAAAGGCAGTAACTGAGAAAATATATAATCAAGAACACATTAAATAATCAAGAGCAAGAATAAGGAAAGAAGCTTAGGCAATTAAGGAGTGATAGAGGTTACAAAAAGTAAAAAAAGACGTTCAAAGTATTTCATAAAGTAACTTCTAGATTTAATTTGGAAAGACAAAGGCTTTTGGGATTCAAGAAAAACAAACAAACAAAACAGCTGCTATGTTCAAAAGAGTGGTTATAGTTTGAGAACCCAAGAATGTTCCTCACCATTCAAAACTAGAGTTGTAATTAGGAAGGGTAATATTAGCTATCCAGTGAGGCTTCAACGGTCTCAGAATACTCTTTTTTTTTAAACAATAATATTGTTCTATGCTACATATTAGCATTTATATGCAAAGTACTTTTTTATTACTAATTATATACAATTTGAAAGAAATATTACAGTAAATGTAGTCATTGATATTTCATTTACTACACCACTAAAAACTCTGTTTACAATTATTTCTAGTAACACAAGGTTATATTTGAGGAAGGGATACATTTTCAAAAGGCCCAATGATAGGCAGGTGCCAAGCTCCCATTTGTGCCTTTAAAAGACAAAAAAAGCCTTTCAAAAAGGCATTGGTGACCATCTCAAAACTTCAAACTGATTTGTTCATATTCTAGAAACCCAGTAACAAAACAAAATTTAGTTACCGTAGTAAAGACTCCAGAAGCAGTAGACCAGGAAAGACAAGGTATCAGTGGTAATGGTTTAGGCCAGTTTGTCACTGCTAATGAAGCCATCTGTTAGATAAAAAGAATGATAAAAAGAATATCAGAAGGACAAACTGCTTATTTTCATAGGACTGTACAAAGTTAAGCGTTACGTAATTTTAACTTATCCCTAAAACAAAGTAATTAGTATATCAAAACTTAGCAGCACTTCTAGTTCCATCCATCTGCAAAAACTTGAAAAATTAGACTTCCTTTTAGGACTTCCTGACAGACATTGCTTTGGGCATATCCTGGTTTCAAACCTACCAGTATTTATGTTTTAAATACAAGAATTCTGATTAACAAAACTTTCATTGTAATCAAGACTTCTTCCCAACAATGAAAACTTCATTTGCCATCTCAAGACATCCCTTCCTCCAAAAGCCTCCCAACTACTTTAGAAGCATAAAAGACACTTTCAAATCATGTATCTGAATAAATAAGACTTTAAAAAATATGCTTCAAAAGCTGAAGAATTTTTAAACTACACACCAAGAATCTCATCTATAAACACAGCAAAACGTATGCATCAACAAGATGTCTCATACAAAATGAGTGGAAGTTGGAGAACCAAACCCCTTTTAAAATGGTTTTTAAAAGTGAACTTTACCCAAAAGGAGTTTTATAGGAAGTTACTATTACTATGAAAACCATGACTATTGACAGGTAGTATATTAAAACTTCATATCGGCCAACCTTGCAGAGCTCCACAGTTGCCAACATTTAAGTAGGTAAAATAACAGATTAAGTAGCATGGCAAAAAAAATTATTGAGAACTATGGGTGAATTTTCAGATTGTTGGAGTGTGTTTTAATGGCATCTAGACAGTGGGAATTTCTGCACACTCATACTACGTGTCATGAATTTTTAGCAACTTCTTCCAGTTACTCTAAAATAATGAAAACAGGATTACTGTACAATTATCAGGTCTCCCTGTTTTTAACTGTACATTGGACAATCAAGTTAAAACAAAATACTTAACAGGTACCTATACAGAAAGACTTACATGTCCTCCCATAGATATTCCAGTCATTCCTAGAGGTCCATAGCCTTCTCTCTCCAGCCAGTGCAAAAGAACTGCCGATTCAAGAACAAGAGCTCCTCCCATCACAAATAGGTCCGAAACGTTTTTTAAACATGACCTCCTTTCCTCCCCAGAAAAGAAAAAACTATTTATTTTCCAGCGTCAGTTGTACCCACTCATTATTTCAATCTGTATTTATCCTTATAAACATTCTGGTCATACTCCAAACAAAATCAAACCCCTATGGAATTCAATAGGAGTAGGAGCAAATTCCGACTCTTCAGCCCTTATGTTCAAGTCCCACAAGGTTAATTTTCCTTACATATTTTTGCGATCCAGATCTACACAAAGACTAGGAGTACGCATGTGCTAATTTAAAAATATAGGATCATGGATTTTCATATTTTCAAATGAGATACTGAGAGCCTGGAAACTAATCAGCAGTAACGTTCTATGCAGCCGAGTAACAATGGGCCTTTCTAGATACATGACAACTAACTGATATGAGACTAGATGTACGACAGCCTATTGGCAAAGACAATTATTTTTCATTTTTCTTATTTACCTTATATCATTGAAAAATTGTACACAATATTTGAAGAGCAATCAGTAAGTCAGCTTTGGGAGCAATCATCAGTACCACTGTCTGACTGAAAGTGTAAGTTTGTCACTGTACTGAGAAATCCATGTAGTGTCTTAAAGAAAAGACAAGAAAAATGGAAAGCTATTCAGTTTAAACTTCAAAATAACCACAATGGTTGCTTGTACAAAAAATTACAGCCCAATTATGCAGCTGCTCCAAATGCTAGACAACATTTGGAGCAAATGGATGGCTTATAGAACAACAATAGCACTGGTCTGGGACAAGGGTCTGTGTCTGCGTTTTCAATATCTGTCAAGTTGCAAAAGATTACATGTCTTTTTTGCCTAGGCATCACTACTCCTGGGAACATTCTGAAGTCTGACAACTAGTAATTTTTATTTCAGTGCCACAAGAACAACAAAAGTATCTTAGGCTTTTGTAGACCAATACTTATTTGATACTAGAATTCTCATTTCCTATTGCTTTGTGTCCTGTGATTAAGGCTGCTCACTCTTCTACACTTTGTTTTTCAGAGACCTATCATCTGAAAGATAGAGGGATTAGGCTGTCAAATTGTCATCTGAAAGCAGAACACTGAATTTGCTGAGTAGTAGCCCAATAATAGAGAAACCACTAATTATAATTCTAAACCGACCAAATACAATTCAGTGACTACTTTCAAAAGGTTCTTCAAACTATTTTAATAGTTTTATTCTTCGAACAGAGATTTTTTCCTTTTCTCAACTATCAGACTGAAAACCCATTGTTCTATTCATAACAGGTATTGGTGAAACACAAGCTCAGAATTTAGATTAAAAACAGATTTTCCATTTTTTTGGGGGGGGGGAAAGGGGGCATGCATCAGTGGCCCAGTAAGAAGCTGATTGGTTTAAAAAGATTAGGCAACCGTTTCGTATCTTTATAACTGCCCTGCCAGGAATATTAGCAAATTAAAGCAATTACTCTGTTGCTTATACAGATTCCAAGGCAAAGTGGCACCTTGTAGACCAGGAGTCAGCAACCCCCGGCACACATGCCAAGCATGGCACTCAAGGCCATTTTGCTCGGCACACCAATGCCAGCCTGGGCTCTAAGCAGCTGCTGCCAGTTGCGGAGCCCAGGCTGCTCCCAGGAGATGGCTGGGAGGCTGCAAGCAGACCAGGCTCCCTAGGCCAGCTGGAGGTGGGAGGCTGCAAACAGCTGTTCCAGGCTCCAGCATGTAAGTACTCTAGGACTTTTCAAGGTAGACATTGTGGTTTTTTCAAAGATATTGAGCCCTATGCAGTTCTCATTAGTTCATGAAAAATGAAGTCACATATTCAAGTGACTAACTTAGAAATGAAAACTTAGGCATGTTAAAAAAGTCTTTCCCAAAAGTTCTTTTTCTACAGAAAAATAAGTTGTTGTAGAACTTAAGATTTATGAATGGTAAAATATATTAGAGTCCTTATTTGCATCCCTGCCAACTTAGATTTTAAACAGTTGGTCTACTTTGGGTGCAGGACACTTCAGCTTTCCTTTAAGCACCATGATCCACAAATCAAGCAAGCAAAATGTCTGTAATTTCACATAAACAAGGTATGGCTGAACCAAGCTTGCCAATGTTTATAAAAATTATTAATAAGCTTTTATACTACTATGAGAGTGTTGCAAACCAAAACGTCTTAAGACGACAGAATACAGCTGGGTAATATAATCATAATACTTACAATTGGTCCTTGGGTTTTCTGTAGCCATGTAAAAGATTCAAATTAAGGAAAATAAATGAATTAGTTATATATAAAGAGAAGTTAATTTGGGACGAAAATAAAAGCATATTGATAAACTCAATTCTGACTTCAGATATTACCTATTTAAACTATTTTATTTGGCATTACATCAAGTTAACTGCAGTATGATGAAGTCAATCATAATTTAAGACTGTATTCTAATGAGGTAGGGACAATCTCAGGGAGAGCGCTGTCAGGCCTTCAGTCAGTGCAGATGTAGTTGGGGATCTTCTAGAAGAGCCAGACATTTTTAAATCTGCAGGTCCAGATGCCCTCCACCCAAGGGTGTTGAGGGAGCTGGCAGGGGTCATTGTGGAGCCCTTGGCCCAGCTTTATGAGCATTCATGGTCATCTGGCCAGGTGCCGGGGGATTGGAAACTGGCTAATGTGGTCCCAATTTTCAAGAAAGGGAGGAGGGAGGCCCCAGGTAACTATAGGCCTGTAAGCCTCACCTCGGTGCTCGGGAAGATCTTGGAGAGAATCATCAAGGAGCACATCTGTGGGGGACCAGCAGGGGAGATCATGCTCAGGGGCAATCAGCATGGGTTCATCAAAGGCAGGTCCTGTCTGACCAAGCTAGTTGCCTTTTATGACCAGGTGACTAAATCCTTGGATGGTGTCGCCATGGACATAGCCTTTCTAGACTTTAAGAAGGCCTTTGACACCGTCTCTCACCCCATCCTCATCAATAAATTAAGCAACTGTGGCACTGATGCCTACACAGTTGGATGGGTCAAAAATTGGCTGATGGGGCACACCCAGAGAGTAGTGGTGAACAGGCTGTACTCAACCTGGTGAGATGTGAGCAATGGGGTATGCCAGGGCTCGATCCTCGGGCCCGCACTGTTTAACATCTTCATCAGTGACTTGGACGAGGGGGTGGAAAGCACGCTGTCCAAGTTTGCTGATGACACTAAGATGTGGGGTGAAGTGGACATGCTTGAAGGGAGAGAGAGGCTGAAAATAGGTTTAGACAGTCTACAAGAGTGGGCAGACGAGCATAGGATGGGGTTCAACGTAGATAAATGCAGGGTGCTGCCCCTTGGGGAAGGAATCCACAGCATGCACATACAGGCTTGGGAGTTCCCCTCTTGAACGCACGGAGGCAGAACAGGATCTTGGAGTCATTATTGACTCTGAGATGAACACGAGCCACCAATGCCAGACCGCAGCCAGCAAAGCCAGCCATACCTTGTCATGCATCCAAAGGCGCATCTCAGGCCAGTCCAGAGAGGTGATACTCCCCCTCTGTGCGACACTAGTCAGGCCACAGTTGGAGTACTGCATCCAGTTCTGGGCGCCGCACTTCAAAAGGGATGTGGCCAGCATGGAGAGGGTTCAGAGGAGGTTCACCCGCTTGGTGAGAGGGCAGCAGGACAGGCCCTATGAGGAGAGATTGAGGGACCTGAACCTGTTCAGCCTCAGCAAGAGGACGCTGAGGGGGACCTGGTGTCTGCCTACAAACTCATCAGGGGAGATCAACAGCAAATAGGTAGAGCCCTTTTCTCCCCAGCACCACTTGGGGTGACAAGGAGCTTATTACCATTGTTGATGAAGAACAGGTTTAGGTTAGAGATCAGAAGGCAATTTTTTACAGTTAGGGTAGCCAAAAATCTGGAACCAACTTCCCAGGGAAGTGGTCCTCGCCCCTACCTTAGGCGAATTCAAGAGGAGGTTGGATGATCACCTGTCTGGGGTCTTGTGAACCC